TAGTGAGTTATTGAACAAATTTGTTGCAGACTTTGTATGAACTGTTTTGGAAGGAGTGTAGGCCTATTTGTGGGCTGGGCCAGAGTGGTTAATTTTACATGAGAGTAGAGCAAACAGTTCTGTTGTCTAACGTCATCCTATTCTCTGTAACAATCGTACCATGCTAAACACCCTTTCTCGTGCTGACATACATCATTCCTTCCCCGTGTGAGACGCTAAAGTCGTAGTTACAAACCGCGTGACTGTCCCCCTCTTCAGAAAAGTAAATTCGCTATCCCATTGATCGCGGTATTTAGTACATGAGGGTTTTGGTTTTTTGGCAGGAGTGCCTTGCTCTGTCATAGCGTCCATCATCCGACTCTGTTTTTGTTTGTTTTTTGTTTCCCCCGCGTTGTCACTCATCATCTGACCTCACACTAACCTCGCGACAACTGCCACCTATAGTACCTGTAGTTATCGCGAGGCTAGTGACAGAGCTCAGATTGGGAATGTTTTTTTTATTTTTTTTCCTCCGCCCGGGGTATTATTATTTTTCAATAACGCAGGTTAAAATACAGGAGATTTACGGGAAAATCCTAATACGGGAGGACGGCGGGAAAGAAGGGTAGTATACGACTGGCATGAAGTTGGTTTGACGTTGGACGTTCGATATTCGCGTATTTAGGGACCGTCTCTAAAGTTACATGCGACACTGGTATAAACGTTTTGTAACTTCAATAGCGTTCGAAGACATTAACTTACAGTCATAAAACCTACTGTACATTGTTCACCCAGGTCTCGGGTATGATGCACACCTTTTAGATATTTGATATGTATGACAATAAACTGTTAAATCAAATGCAAATATTGATATACATTTCACTACTGTATCGGATCATATACAAAATATGCCAATATTTAAAGCTCAATACGAGTTAAAATACGGGACTTTCCCAGCCAAAACGGGATACTTGACAGACTGCATAACTATTTTACAAATCACACCTAAATGAGTTTAATAATCCCCAAAACCTGGTGTGAATCATCAGTTCCTGTCTTGAGCCGTTCCAGCCGTGCGTTACAGAGGCTCACTGATAACACTAAACCATCTAACCAGAGAAGTGTGTTTACTTTGCATTGGAATAAACTTCTTTCATTACGTCAGAACAGTTTATTGGTCTTGTTTCAAGTTCAGGTCATTCCTGTTATGCAGCAACTTACACAAGAATGCTTGAGTTGTTATTCATTAATGTATTCCACAAAATATACATCAGACTTCAGAAGTATGATCTGCATGGTGAGACACTTCAGCTTAATAATTATATATGACTTGATTGTTTACATAACGCAAACAAAATAACAGGATGGAAATAAAGAGATCAAGTTAGAGCTTAAAGTCTTTTAAAAAAAATTTATGGATCCAATCCTACCAACCCAAAAGAATACATCACATCCATTAATAATACTCACTAATGTTTGCGCTGACGTTTTCCCTCCAAAATGATGTCACTTCCTGGAGGATGATGGCATTAAGGAAGTGGCTTTTGTTAGTTAAAAGGATTTGGATGGAAAATAATATTGAGGGCACAGAAATATTTTAAAAATTATTATGGATTAAAACAATATCAAAAAAATGTTTGATGCTAGAAAAGAAAACATGAAATATTTCTTAGTCAACATGAATAAACTAACAATGAGCAATACATTTGTTACAGTATTTATTGATCTTTGTTAATGCTAGTTAATATAAATCCAGCTGTTCATTGTTTGTTCATGTTAGTTCTCAGTGCATTAACTAATACAACTTGTGATGTTAATAATGTATTAGTTAATGTTGAAATGAATATTAACTAAGATTAACAAATGCTGTAGAAGTATTCATGTTAACTAAACGCAATTAAACCTTATTGTAAAGTATGAAATGGCCTCAATTCAATTCTTCTCATGAAAACTCCCTTAACCTGTGATATTATGATATTCTCCATCTTTACAAACTGTGTCTTTAATATTTTATTCAATATAAGGCTATGGAAAGTCACTGCATAACAGGAATGACCCGTTTCGTGTTCCTATATAATCCCACTGGAGCGACGGCTCATTGGCAGTCAAAAGACAAAACAAAAAAGCCTGACTCTCTTTCCGAAATATTTCTGGGCCTGATTTGTGTTTTATAGTCCTGAAATACAGAGCACATTTAATTCATGTAAAAGTTCTTTGTGAGAAGCGAGTGGCGACGCTCCGTGAAACCAGTTGCCTGTAGGGAACCGGTTGAGGAGTGACTATCACATGATCTCTTCATTTCAGCGCATGAACCAGCGCCACACAAAAGACTGGCAGAACACACAAGAGCAGATAATTATAGCCTGTAGACAGCCACCCTCCATCACTACAAGCCCTGCATTCACACACACACACTCCTCTCTAATGCGCCATTAACATGCAGTCTCGTCACTAACACACACTTGTGTCAGTCGACCGGCCCGGCGGAGCCACGGAGACCAGAAGGAGTCTCTGCGGTTACTGTTACAGACACAGACTAGCGGGTTTGAGCCCTCTTCACCAAAGCCAAATATAATCACTATTTCTTCTTCATCAACAGCATATAAAAAAAATGTAACAAATCAATAAAGAAATATAATAATAATAATAATAATAATAATAGTAACAATATCATTATATTTCTTTATTGATTTGTTTAATTTTTAAAATTGAAATAATAATAATAATAAAAACTTATATTTTTTATTGATTTGTTTTTATATTTTAAATAATAATAATTGCACTGTAACAAAAAGTAGCTGAAAAAAAGTTATTTCAACATAAATTAAATTAAACTGACTTTAATTGCATAACATAAAAAGAAAAAAAATTCTTAACTTATTTTAATATTAAAGAATTTTAAAACATATGTTGTCATAACTCATTGATCATATCATTTTTTTACAGTGTATTTCTTAGATTTTATTTTTTATTTATTTAAATAATTATTATAAAATTATTATTATTATATTTGTTATTTGTTTTTATAATTTAAATAATAATAATTATTACACTGTAACAAAAAGTAGCTGCCTTAAATTAAGTACAATCAACTTGAATATGTAAGTTATTCCAACATAAATTAAATTAAACTGACTTAAAAAATTAGTTGAATCTTACATAACATAAAAAAGGATAAAAATGTTAGTTAATGTTAAAGAAATGTAAAAACATATGTTGTCATAACTTATTGATCATATAATTTTTTAAGTCTTCAATAAGTCTTATAAGTGTCTTATTAACTGTTAATTACTGCTTATAACAAGCACCTTAAAATAAAGTGTTACCTAAAATTATTATTATATTTCTTTATTGATTAAATTATTATAATTTAAATAATAATAATAATTATTAATATTATATTTATTTATCAATTTGTTTAATATTGATCATTTAAATAATAATTAATATTATTATTATATTTCATTATTAATTTTTATTATTATTATTATTACTTTCACTGAAATCTGTCCTTTTAAAGCATATGAATGCTTTCGTGCCTTAAAAACTGACTCTAGCATTTCAGATAAACTTACTCTCAACTGGTAATAACAGTATGTTGGTGACACTTTATTTTGATGGTCCCATTTAGACATTGTTTCAAATGTAAGTAACTTTGCAACTACAGTACATGTCAACTTATTCTACTAACTCTAACCCTAGTCTACTAATAGTCTCCTAATACTCTAATGAGAGTTAGTTGACATGTAGATGCAAAGTTACTCATAGTCAACAGAATGGTTCATCAAAATCAAGTGTAACCAGTATGTTCTGTGAATATGCATGTGTAATTGTAATATAATCTGGGCGTACTCCATTTAACATCGGAAGGGTCATCAGAATAGCATTCAGAATAGATTTAAAAGATCTGAATCTCAGAAAATAAATGAAAATCTCCATAATGACACTGAATTAGATCCGCCCTCAGCGCTTCAAGCACACGCCCTCTTTCCAAAACCACACCCTCCAAAGACCTGTCAGACAACCCCAAATCAGCGGAGCCAAACGCCTCAAATCATTCGTTGGCAGAAGGACAAAACAAATCTGATTGCCTAAAACTCTTTATAGCTTTTAGGAGTCTATGCTGTCACAGAAACAGCAGAGATATTCATGCGTTTATTATTATATTGTTAGGCCTCTTATTTAAAATATCATGTTAAAAATGTCCCTTATCAATTACTCATTAGGAACATAAATAAATAAATAACCTTTGACACACTTTTGCTGCTTCACAACACTGCTATTTCATTCAAGATATGCAAATCTAGATTCTTCAGAAACTGGTATGAATATTGACTGACAGGGTTAGGGTTAATGTTAGGGTATCTTAAAAATTAAAATCACTTACTTACCCTCAAGTTGTTCCAAACCTGTATGAGTTTCTTTCTTCTTTTGAACACAAAAGAAGATATTTTGAAGACTGTTGGTAACCCTTTTTTTAGTAGAAAAAATAATACTATGGACGTCAGTGGCTACCATCAACTGTCTGGTTACCAACATTCTTTAACATATCTTCTTTTGTGTTCAAAAGAAAAAAGAAACTATAAATAAATGAGGACAGTTTCCTTTTTGTGTGTGAACGGTCCCTTTAAATCATCGCCTGCACTTCTCTCTCTGACCAGAAGGTGGCGGTAGTTCAAGGGCCACTTTTACCTCAGAGCACTTTATCTTCTAATAAAACTCCAAACTGTTCAAATAAAATACAGTAAATGTGCAGCATGCATTAAAATAAATATGCAACTAAATAGCATATTGCTATAAATGTAAATAGGCCTGGTAAATGGCACAACTTATTGTAATAATGACTGACAGGATTCCTTAATTGATCTGACTTAGTAAAAGGGAAAATCCTGAAATAACTCCTGTATATTAATTAAGAGTTTGTTTATAAAAAAAAGCGTGACACATAGGCTATAAACGCATAGCTATATCTCATTGCACAAAATCATGTAGTCCTTAAAGTAATGTTAAATGACACTTACGAGTCTTCTCTCGTCCAGAACAGCAGCTGTGGGCGCGAGTAGTTGTTTTGCTGACATGTGCATATTTCACATACTACAGTACAGTACAGTACAGTGTGTTACTGTACCGTGTTAAAGCGTGTCCCTGCCAAACCTAAGATCCCTCAGACCGCACTTTAGTGTCGCATTTAAAGGCGTTGTGCTCGTACAGTCATGTGATGTGTGTGTGTGTGTTCTCTGGCTCTGTACCTGCTTCTGCTCCGCGCGGCGCTCCTGCGGCTCCAAACGCGACGTCACGATACTGAGCTGCCTGAGAGGAGAAACACACACACACACACACACACACACACACACACACACACACGCACGAAGTGCGAGGATGCAATCTGATGTGCTCGTCTAAAGAGAGAGAGAGAGAGAGAGAGCAGAGACAGAAAGAAAAAAATGACAATAAAGCAAGAGGTAAAATCCAAGAAAGAGATGAAGAAAATACAAGAAAAGCTAAAAGGAAATGCAAGAAAGATTAGGGGAAAGCAGAAAAGATCTTTTAAAGAAAGATAAAGAAAATGTAAGTAGAGAATAAAGAAATTGCAAGGCAGAGACGAAAGGTTAAAATGTGAAAAATGAAAGTTGAAGAAATGCAAGATTAATAAAAATTAAATAAATGTACATGAAAGATGAAGAAAATGTAAGAAAAGATGAATAAATTGCAAGACCGAAAATGCAAGGGGATGAAAAATGTTTTTTTTTTTAATCCCCTTTCATTTACGCAAGAAAAGAAAGCGGAAGTAAATGCAAGAGATTTTTTTTTTTTTTAAATGCAGCTAAAAGAATGAAAGATTAGAAAATGTAAGAAAAGAATGAAGAAAGTGCAAGACAGAAAAGAGATGAAATGTGAAAAAAGCAAGTAAGTGAAGAAAAGGTAAGTAAGCAATAAAAAAGATATAATGTATATGGAAATGAAAGAATGAAAGATGAAGATTATGCAAGAAAAGAAAAATGAATAAATTGCAAGACCAAAAATGCAAGGGATGAAAATGCAAGAAAATAAAGATGAAGAAAATGCAAGAAATGAAAATAAAAAAATTTGCATGCAGCTAAAAGAATGAAAGATGAAGAAATGCAAGGAAAAAAATAAGACACTGTGAGACAAAGGTCTGAAAAAAGAAATATAAGAAAAAATGGGGAAACTGCAGAGAAAGAAAGAAAGGGAATATTTTCTTCAACAGATGCCTTTTGGATCGTCACACACGATCAGAATAATATCTGAGATGAGAATAATCTGTTTCTTTATTAATGTTGTACCTACTGATGGAGAAGATTCTGAATGGCATGTTCCTCCACACTGCACTAAACCTTTATTGATGACCAACTGACAATATCCTCCACTGAACAGAACAGAAACATCACTAAAGTACCTCATTCTTCTATGAATGTCTCTGCGCCTTTAAAACAGCAGAAGGACACAAATATATATAATAATATAAACATAATAAAGTGTCAGTCAAGTCAGTGTCGGATTGCTGTAATTGATCCCTGTAAGTAAACACAACTACTTTATAGTGTTCACTACATGGCGGAAATAAGACTTATCACACCCGTGACATCCTTACACAGCATCAAAAACAGAACAAAATAACACAATCAGAGGATACAAACTTTAAAAGTCAGTTATACTTTAATACAGAAAAGAGAGGAGAGTTGAATTGAAATGATACAGCAGTTTTCTCCTCAGAATGAATGAAAAGCCCAGTGTTGGCAACAGCTCTGTTGTTGTGGGATCCAGAAAACTGTTCAATGTCATAGCATATTATTATTTAAACATACTATAATTGCAGCCCATAATTAACGATACAGTCTGTACTAATGCTTGGCAAGGGATTAAGGTGTGACTGAAGACGTTTCAGTACCATTTGTATTGGCTAATAATTACATAAATCAAATCTATAATAATTTAAACAAAATTAGGCCTAAAAATAGATCAGAGCATTTTCTTTCACATCTGCCTATTTACAAATTCAAGAAACAACACAAAAATAAATTTTTTAATATATGATAACATTATGAGGATCTCTGTTATCTTTATTGAGGGGGGAAATAGTGTAACAGATAACGAAAGAACAAAAACGGAATTGTCCACCTGAAGAATAAATTAAAACTATAGTTCGTCTCCACGCTATTTGAACAATCATAATTCATTTTTTATTACAAGAATAATTCGCTCAAAAAATGAAAATAAATTCCTTTTTGTCCTTTTAGGAGCTTGAAAGATGTAATATGGTCACTATTAAGTGTTTATATTCATTTGATATTATATTTAAGGCATGTTGTGACTAATAAAAAAACTGCTGTGTGAAGAAAAAACGAGGAAAAGAAAAAAAAAAGATACAGCACACACTGTTAAAGGTGAAAGGGAAACACTGCGCTCCACGCAGTTCTGTCCGGATCCAGATAAAAAGTACAGAAAGTCTTCTGATTTGTGAGACACCTAAAAATCATGATATTCTAATAACTGCAAAAAGAAAAAACAATCTGAAGACAGACGATTTCCTCATGACCTGCAGAATGTTTGAGAATTGTGCCAATAAGGCATGTCGAAATGCTTCATTCCTCCGCTGAATGAAAGACTTCCGAATCCGATATTCCCATCAATGAAGGAGACGGTGCTAAAGATGCTTCAGACCCCTGTGGACACAAAAACATCACAAACAAACTTTACAATGAACAAAGAACTTTTATAAATGATTCGTCATAGATTGTCAGTTATTGATGGTGTGGTAAATAAAGGACCTTTAACGTAGGGGCGTCACAATATATCGCAATACAAAAATGAATCAATTTGTAACGTGGATATCGTGAAAAAATGAAGTTTTCAGAGTTGTAGTGTCAGTACGACATTAAACTACTAAATATAAATGTTGAATATAATGTTTAATAATGCAATGGGGGAATATTTGTGGGTCCTGATAATGCCAAATGTCTGATTATTTCGGCTTACATTATTTTAAATATATCAAGTCAGTGAAAGAGCGCAAGCATATTCGTCTAAAATAATTCTGTGTTCAGCTTCAGAATCACTGGTGTCTCTATTGTCCTGTGCATTGGGTTACCAGCACAAAGTCCAAGCCTATTCATTTTAACACACAATGTAATATAAAATGTAGGACATTTTTTGTTAATCTTTTATAATATGTCTTGGAGAGTATCATAATAATATCATATCGTGATATGTATCAGATCGTGACACGAGGGTGTCGTAACACCCCTACTTTAAAGTGAAGGTTACTGTTTTATCAGGGTTTCTAAGTGGTTCTGTGATGGTTAGATCTAGAGTTAGATTCACTCACTGGTGACGCTTGAGTATTTCCAATCTTACATGTTCCCATGCCTGCATCCCGGGACGAGCTCGGCTCTGCTGTGTGTGATGGGGCCTCTCTGGATCTCTCTGTGCCTCCTTCTCTATTGTCTGTCACCTGTGGTCCACAGGGGGAGAAGAAAACACACAATACACACTGAGCATGATGCGCACTAGGCAGGCACGGGGTCCGAGAAAAGAGACACTGCTGGTTCTGCGTCACGCGCATAAATCGCATGAAGAAGACACAGGATAGACCGTTCCACTGTAGTCCTTCTGACAGACACTCACACATACATTACAAAGACTACACTCACTCACACACACACACACATGCATGTGCATAAAATAATGCATTTACACTCCGTGTAAATATGCACTAGTTTGAAAATGAAGGAGGGCAAAATGGCTGAAAAAAATGTATTTCATTAAATATTATTAGCATTAACAATAACAACGGTTTAACTAAATATGATTTTAAAATAAAAATGTTCCCCCTTTTGTGAATTACATTACTGTTCCAAAGTTTGGGGTCACGGATTATTTTTTGTGCTTTTGAAATAAGTCTCTTCTACTCACCAAGGCTACATTTATTTAATCAAAAATACTGTAAAAAATAGTATTAATTTGTGAAATAATATTACAATTCACAATAACACATTTTCTATTTGAATATATTTTAAAATATAATGTATTTCTGTGATGCAAATCTGAATTTTCAGGAAACTATGATCTTTTTTTCCCCTCAGAAAGCTCAAAAGAACAGCAAATATTTTAAACAAAAATATTTTGTAACATTGTAAATGTCTTTACTGTCACTACAATTTAAAGTGCCTTTGCTAAATACAAGTATTAGTTTATTTACATTTAAATAACCAAGTCATGTCTTGCACAGGAATAATTATATTTTGATCATTTTCATTTATATGCACAAACATAACGCGTTGTCATAAACAACGTTATTTACACACACCGTCAGTCACAAGTTTAGACACACTTGACTGAATCTTCTCATAAATGTTTCACATGATCTTAAAACTTATTTAAACCCATCAGCAAACAAAAGCTTTTCCTCGAGACTGAGGGGCAAGCATATATTGTACACGCTGACTGCACACACAGGGCCCTGCATCACTAAACACGCTCACAGTTGACCCCAGCGACACAACAACAAAAGACGAAAAGACAGGTCAATCCGGGACATAGATTAATGAGCCGTGTGCGTCAATACATTGAGTGCACACACAGCCATCACAATGACTGTCATCCAACTCCCAGTATTAATTTACCAGCGCCAGTTTAAACTGGGTGTATTTCACAATAGATTATTTACTTACACCACAACTGTTGTACAATGAGGATACAAAAGGTGAGCCAAGTACTGATAGCAGAAACACCCGGCTCACTGCATGCTTCATACACACATGGTAGTTTTTGAGTGAATCTTATCAAATCTATAAGACACAGACATGACATGGCCATATTTTACACCCAAATCAACAAAAAGACATGAGATATTCTATTCTATTTTACATTTTTTTCATGATCCATTTTATATCCTGTACATGGGGCCTCGTTTTTAATTTTGCAATCTGTTACGGTGACATTTTGGGTGCCTTCCAGTAATCTGATTGGCTATTGCATCAGCACAACAAACAGTAAGTATTTTTTAATAAAAAAAAAAAAAAAACAGTAGACAGAGTGCAACAGAAATAAACATTTATGTATATTTACTTATTTTAACTTTAAAAAAACAGCAAAATGAAACGCAACCGCCAAGCATGTCTATCTAATGCAGTGGTCTCAAACTCGCGGCCCCGTACTTGGCATTAAAGTTTAATGTTAGTGCGGCCGTCGTTGCGTGTGCCACGTTTAAAAAAAAGATTATTTTTTTTATCCCCTATGGGCTACCATAGATAGTCTCGTGACAGCTTACGGTGGGTTTGTTCTCAATAGTTGTCATAGACAACCGCGAAGTACAAACTTACTGCGCCTGGGAAAAATGAGCGCGTCGCTTCGATTATGAGCGCGCTTTCCGCGCGCCTACATTTGAAATAATGAACTTGAGCGCGCAAAATATGTGAGCGAGATATGTAAACAGGCCCTTTGGCGAGCTACCACCAATCAGCCACGAGCTGGCAGCTCTAAAACAATGTGAGAATACTCATTTTGAGCTTGTAATATGTGTCCAACAGGTCGATAAGAAAGTTTGCTTTGATTTGTGCAAAGTCAGTAATTTGCCTGAGACACTATACATGTGTAGAAAACATTTTCTATGTGTAGAAAAGAAAAAGACGGGCAGACATGACTGCAAATATTTGTATTTCAAAAGCAATAATGGTTTTTCTAAGTATAATAAAAGGAAATGTGCCTTCCAAAAAAAAAAAAACATTCAATATCATTATTGTGTTGTATAAAGAAAATAAAAAGGACATAAGCAAATATAAATATCACAAATATGTGTTATAGGGAAAAGACAAAGAAAGTTTGTAAAATGAACTTCAACTGTCAGAAGGACAGCTCATGAAGAACCAATCATGTACAGAAAGGAATGTTCAAATTCAGAGGAACAGTTCAGAAGAAACGTTAATAATAAATATTGAGAAGATTGGATCAGTTGTGCTCCTTTTTTGGAATACTTGAATACTATTTTTTGTGGAATACTTGATGCGGCCCAGCCTGACCCCGACTCTACCTCCAGCGGCCCCCAGTTAAGTTGAGTTTGAGACCCCTGATCTAATGTATGTCTAAATAGACCAATTATTTAAGAAATAGCACAAACGGAACCTGTTCAATGATTCTGATCTGTAATACAGTAATAGGAATCTATAATAATAATTCAAAAATTATTATCGAAAAAGATTCACCCAAAAACCAACAAACTGTGGAGGTTGAGGTTGTACTCACAGTGCTCGTCGGCGACTCTGGCGATTCTCTAATGGATCTCTGTGTTGTGAGAGGATGTGTGCGTGGTGACTCCCCCAGGGCATGATGGGACAGAGAATGGGTCCTCTTCACCGCAGAGGACACGGCCTGAGCGAAGCGAGAAGGCGATTTGGGCAAGTACGGTTTGGGCGCAGCAAAGCTTCTCAACTTCTCCAAACTCAGTGAAGGTGTGGGGTTAGTGGGAAGACTCTTCTGATGGGGCAGAAAGGACAACGGTGGAAATCGTGAAGATTTGGGCCGTGGACCGTCAACCGCTGTATTCTGAGGTAAAGGTTTATCACTCGCTCTTGCACTTTCCTCATCTTCCCATTGGACTGGTGGTGGTGGAGGAGGGAAGATGTCCGGCGCAACAAATGCATCTAACTGCGGGCCACCCGTGGCTTCTTTTGGACGGGTTGCAGGACTGCTACCGCAGCTACTGTTGCTACTGCTACTGCCGATGCTCGCTCTGCGTACGACCGCGGAGATCACGTAGTCCCCGGGCGATCGCTTGTGCTGCGGCAGGCGGAAAGAGGCTGGTTTGGGTCTTGTTGCAGGTGGAACTTTCTTGTCTTTGACTGCGGATTCGGCTCCTTCTACTACTGGGGACGAAGCGGTTGCTGGAGGTGATGTACAAGGACTAGTTTGCGCAAAGACGTTCTGATGGCCCCTAAGAGCAACCGTGCCATTGGAGGCAGACTTTGCTTCAGGTTTGCAGTCCACACTCGGCTCCAGAGTCAACTCTACCTCAAAGAAACGGAGCTTTTCTAGAGATTTCTGAGGCACGATGGTGTAGGTGGTCATGCCGACTTTGGGCGTGTATTCACGGGTGAGCTCATTTGATGGTTTTGGTTTGGGTTCGGCATCTACAATATACTGGACGCTTCCTGCTTTAGAGGCTGGTGTAGATGTCAAGTCCTTAGATGGTTGGATCGCAGGTGCTTGTGGTTCAGGAACTTGCAGCTCTTCTGTGGAAGTGGCTATGTCTCGCTTTATTGAGGATGTAGACGGGGGCATGGAGGGTTCAGTGCATAAGCTCGATGGCTTAGTAGGTGTTTGCGGTTCTGCCTGCATGTGGGTCTCGGTGTGAGTGAAGTTGACAGTATTGGGGATGGTTTCAGGCATCTGGTTCTCAGAGCGAGATGAACGGCTGGGCTCAGGGGAAGCCGCAACCGTGTCTGAATCAAAGAACTGGGCTTGCAAAGTCTGGATGCCGCATTCAGATGTCTGAAGCGTGTTGATCAAAGATGCAGGCTTCTCTGTGGTGTTCACAGACACCTTTTCCAGAACAGGGACACTTTCAGGCGGCTGAATTGCCTCTTCTGTCTTTTCCACCAGGGGCTCTACAAAAAGAGAAAACAAAGTCATGCATCGAAGCCTTTTATTTAGTTACTAGAGTTTTACTGGAATACATAGCCCATCAAACTGCTTTCTTATGACTTTTTATAGGGATTGTGTCATGAGGAATCAAATTTTCCTGAGAATTACTGAGATTTAAGAGTTCATTGTACTACTGTAAATTTCAGAACTCAAAACTTCAGTCCAACCAGAGCATTTATTGAAATTAAGCTGCCAAAATGAGTCATTCTGAAATTAAAGTATGAATAACAATTGCATAAAGTTCACTGAGGCAGTGGTTCCCAAACTTTTCACAGTGTCGTACCCCCAGAGGCATTTAACATCCTTCTACACCTTTTCCATTAAGGGACAATAATTGCCCATTTAAATTGATTTTCCAGTGCATTTTTTTACTTAAAGCTACACTGTGTAACTTTTTTAGTTTATTCTTAGCTAAAAACACTTAGTTCTTTCAAAAATATATGTGCTCATTAACCTGTTAAGCTTCAAGCCCACTTTTGAAAAATCCCCAGAAATGACATACCCAAACTGAAACAGATACAGTTCATGAACCCTTTGCACTAAAAGCACAAGTATGATCTCATTTGAAAGCTGACACCTGGTTGTTTATTGTAAATGTAGAATTAATTATTGTCATAATGAAAAAAACAATTTTAAATAGCTTCAAAGTTTTGTAAAGTTATTAGAAATTTATTTTTATGAAACATCTTCATGAAAATAAAATTGAAGTTGGCCCTGGAGCAATCTAGAAATGCACTGCAGCTAAAGCCACATGTCTGACCATTTTATATTTAAAATCTGAAAATGATAAGTATAAAAATCTGTATTTAGTTAAATGTTTTTCAAGATCATGTCAAATTACTTTATTTTGATTAGACTCTATTAGCAAACTGATGTTTAGTCATCTTCTGAGTCATCTATTCAGTCTATTGTCTCTATTGTTTTGTGGTGCCCCATTCAGTGTCAGTCTCCCCTGCACACATTTACACCTCTCCAGACTGGTTATTATGGCTCTAAATATGCATTTCTTTTGTCTGCATTATAGCTACTAATGACTGGCTATTCACAGGCTATTCATAGGGTTTCAAACCCTAATTTCTTTTATCAAAGTTCTCACTAAATATTTGAAACTGGTATCAAATGCACTGAAACATTTCAGTAAGCATTCCTATTTAGAAAAAAATCATAAAACAATAACTGCTGTTAGCAGGTGCACCTGGGCTAGCTAGCATGTTAGCTTAGCACACCATCAATACACGACCATTTATGAGATTAAAACCATGTTTGTGCTCCAAACTTACTATATAACGCAAGTCTAGTGTTTTAAATAATCTTCTGTGATCTAACTTGGCTTCAGATAAAAAAAAAATCCGACAGAAAATGTATTATTTAGTGTTCTGAACGATGATGAAATCTATATCGATTAGCATTACATTATAAATATAATCTATTATTATGAAATACCTGGCATGGCTTGAAGAACACAGGTAACTCAAATATCATTGCAATCATGTTTATTGTCTTCAAAACATCTTTATCTGCATGTTACAGCGATCTCTGTCAGCTACTTTCTGTATCACTCAGTGACGTCCTGGAATGTCACATGACTATGGGTCTTCTTCATGATCCATATATGGACTTTTATTGGACATAATAGCGCCCCCATGCTATTGGTATGAATGGAAAACACAGCACATCTCAGTAAGAAGCGATCATAATGATTACATCGACGCATTTGGGTATAAATTCAATAAATATTATTCCTGTCTATAGAAATATGATGTGAATCTATGAGAATATATCAATATTTCTCCACATCTGCACATTGTTGAGCTAAAAGCCCTCAGGGACGTTGTTTTGTGAATCGCTGTCATGACGACAGCACGGAGTGTTTTTTATGAATGGACCGGCTGACGCTCATAATTCATATTAAAGGTATCGACTCATTTTTTTCATTTCATAACTCCTGACACAAATTAAGACATAACTGTCACTATAAGTTTCTCAGAATACAATAGTGGTCAAATACTGAATCTTGAGTCTTATATCTTTTTAATGATGTATAGTTTGTCAAGGTATAACATTAAATCTGATAGTATATTTGAACTAAATAAAAAAAAAAACGCTTCAGTGCGCCGACGCTCTGGCAACGGTTAAGAGGTTAATGTATATTTACTTCGTTCAAGTAATAAAGTATTCTCGTGAGTGTATAATATGCCATTGAAAATACATACGGGTAAGGGGTTCTAATGTCGGTCGCCATGTTGCCCCTCCATCTTGAAAGTACATTAGCCAAAGAGGGACATACCCGTTAATTCAAGCTTCGCCTTTCGCGTTTTAACACTCGATGGCAACGTGTCGAATGTCATATAAATAACCTATATGTTACCTGACAAATTAAATTACTGCAAATTATAATAGTTTTCTAAAATAACCTCATCACTTGAAGGAACTCTCATGGACGAGGTCGACCTGGAAGCCATGTTAATCTTAGACTACATTGGCCACCGTAGGAGTTAAAACGAAATCGGAATTGAGAGGAACACAAACTAATATTCACTGGATGGTCTATACCTTTTCACTGCTAGATGGGGGTAAAAATCACACAGTGTAGCTTTAATAAATAATGGTTTAAATAAAAAATGTTCAATAAATATGCAATGATGGTAAAAGCGAAGTGATATTTTTAAATATGAAACTAAAACCACCAGTAGGTAGCAGTAAGTCACTGTCTTAATGAGTGACCCATCGAGTAATTTATTCATTCAGTAATGAAGCAAGTGGCTGAATTTATGAATGGGTTATTGAATCATTGACTCTCGCGATTCGCGTTCGAATCCGCAGATTAGTTCACGAAACACCGTTGTGTTACACTTTTGCTGTGGCTTTCGTTGGAACTATTTTTTCGTTGCAAAATAAAGCAAACAATACAAAACTGTGTTAAAATTGTATATCACTTATTATTACACTTTTGTTTGTTGTATGAAATCAATGCCACATTTGCAATCATGTGGATATTTGGGAAAAATTGCATTCTTGCTCGTATGAAATTATCAATATTAAAAGCAAGAACACAAGGGCTATGTTTTTGTACTGAAGAGAGTTTGAGTCTTAAATCACTCTCTGCACAGTCTGTGTCTATATGTGTTCTTCATACGAGTAAGTGCTAATACTTTTACAAAGGTATATTGGTTGAGAACGGCAGTATTTTAGCGAGATTTGCTAAGGAAGCATATCAGCTCGCAACTTATATGCATGCTTCTTGTGTGGATGCAGTTAGTTTTGACAGGAGGTAATTTGATTGGATGTCATGTATTTGATCTTCTATGGCATTTTGCCTGTTAGAAATCATGCTCGGTTTAAATGTTATTTAAGTTGGAGTAGAATTAACATACTCACGTTTGGGAACCACTGCACTAAGCAAAAACAGAGTAAAATCTGAGGTGTTGAAGGATCTCACCCATCAGTGAAGCTTACCTATCTCTTCTGATTGGATATGAGAGCTTGCGGCGTGGTCCGACTTAATCTCTCCATTCACTCTGCCTTCAGCTACTCTGTCAAGGGTAAAAACCATGTAAAGTTTAAAAAACACATTTAATGAAATCAATTACCTACAATTAATTTAAAATTAGAAAAACTAAAAACAATGACATTAAGGCTGTCAAAATGAAAGCGTTAACACATGATTATAATTTTTTTTTTGTAAAAATATTTAACAATTAAAGCCGCATCCATTTTTTCCCATCATCCTTTGGCTGTGCTACAGTATATGATCACACTATCATTCATTCAAGTGCCATTCAAGCATGATAAGACGCATGATAAGACGCGTCTGTGAATCTCCTGTCTGTGTGACGGACACACACATGACTTGTGTGCACAAAAAGCCGTTTCAGACAGCGCGCCGGCCGCATTGAGTTCTCTTTGGCGCTTGAACGGACAAAAACACACAAAAATATGCCAAAATGCCTGCTTTTTAAAGTATCCTCGTAAGCACAGTCTTAAATGAGTTAAATAAAGTCTTAAATGACAGTAGTGTTGTGAGGACATCGGTTACGTGTCAGATCCACATCGTGTGCAAAGTCTTAAAGTGACAGCAGCCTAATAAACCGGTTGCTGTCTGTCATTAATGTTAATCAAAGAACAAAAGACAGATAAAATCACTCCCTGCTCTTGACTGAACAACTTGTGTAGCTTTAATAAGGATTAATCTATGTTATAATTTATGAAGTGAAGACTGTGAAGTGTTCGATAACTTTACTCAATTTCTGTATATTTCCCGCCTGTTAGATCAAATATTTAGAATACCCGTCTTTATGTTGTTCTACAGTAATTTGGAAATAACTGTGTAATTATTACAATATAAAAATATATTAAAAACTTTAAATGTAAATTAAAACTTTATGCTAACCCTAATCGCGATTAATTACAGAAAATGTGCGATTAATTCGTAAATTTTTTTTAAAGGTGCCCTAGAATGTGAAATTGAATTTATCTTGGCATAGTTAAATAACAACAGTTCAGTACATGGACATGACATACAGTGAGTCTCAAACACCATTGTTTTCTCCTTCTTACTTAAATCTCGTTTTTGAAAAACACCCCTGAAAAATAGGCGAATCTCCACATAACACCGACTGTGACGCAACAGTCGGGATCATTAATATGTACGACTCCAAGAATTTGCATATGCCAGCCCATGTTCAATGCCAGGCGGAACTGCGTAGCCGATGCATAGCAGTTGCTCACTGTTTGGATGTACACATGAACACAAAAGTATTTTTTATTTCCTTCATCCGAGCCTCTGAAGAAACAATGGGTTAATTTTATTTTCTCTGGAAATTTCACTGACGACTGTTTCCTCAACTTGGGCCAATACAGAGCTGGCCTCGGATCGAGCTACCAAGCAACACTTTCTGATGTGTAATTGTTCAAGTTCAGACAGGTAATCTTTCTCTCAAAATCGTTCAATACTGTTTATGCATCAGTAAGTCAAGCCAGTGGCTAAAATATCAACGTCACATCGTTTCTTTTAGTAGGATGAAAAAAAAACTTATTCAAATTGTGAATAAATTATATAAAGAAAGCGATCAAAGAACAATCTTTCCACAGCGCGAGTTTATCTGGACACTTGCCAAACTCGTTATGACTTCAATGACGCACGTTACTGCACAACGAAGCTCTTACTGTATTTACATGATCGTGTTTGCATTGGTGAAAGCATTAGAGAGAGTGCAGAAACTGCATTGCAATGATAAGATCATCATGCTCGCGATCAACAGACTGTGATCTGCTTGCTCAATGCTCAGTCATCACGGCAACATTGTATGTGATGGGAATAGATCTAAATACTTTAAAAACATCTCACGATTCGTTAATCTCGATAGCTGTAATAGTAAAATGTATAATAGCTGTAGTAAAAGTATTCGAGAGAGTTTCACATGTAATACATAGCTGTTTCATATGCAAGCATGTCAGCCAATCACAGCAGAGGCTGGTTACACACAGCAGACACGCCCCTTCAAACAGAGCGTTAAAATCAGAGACTAAAATCAGGCTAGGAAAAATGCCTTTTATTTCTAAATTATGACTATTTTTGATCTAAAAAACATACTAACATTATAAGGGCAACCCAGGAAACATTATAAAATAATATAAAAAAACATTCTAGGGCACCTTTAATCGATTGACAGCACTAATTTACATACATTTATTAAAACAAGCCTTAATCTCATTTAAAGCTTGCAGTCCGCAGTTTTTCCTCTTTGTCGCCATCTCTGTTCGAAATCTGCAATTGCAGTCATTCGCGGAATTATTAACTCTACATGAGTTGTACTTCGACACGGCACAGCGCGGATGAACACAATGTTTGAGGAGAGTGTGCAGCTGTCAATCACCGCGCCGGTGCGGATAATGGCATTCAGAATCACAGATTATTCTTTTTGGAAGTATGACCAACATAAGAATTTTCACCGGAAAATGTCATCTGAACTAGTAAGAAACATCCACTTTTGTTCTGGTTCTGACATTGCAGTAAATCGCGCTGATTGAATCAAAAAATCGCTTATCATCACACAAAACCGTGCAAATTATACTTTGTTCTCAAATTGTTAATGTTAACAACGTCAGCATTGCGTGACTACATGTAATGTCCTTCCGATATGTGCCCTTGTTTTCGCATGGGTCCGGTTGCAGTCTCTTTTTTTCTGTAGCCACTCCGAAGTCCGAACAAAGTTTTTTGCATGTTACAGCGGGTGAGTCTCTAGTTGTCACTGGTGATTGTCGTCTGAACCTTTCTGGATCCGCCATCAAATTAATACGTTTAATTATATCAAGTGCTGTGAGAAAAGGCTATAAATCTCCACCTCCAACATCCTTACACGCAATATAGCCTACTAGCCGAGACTCCTTCTTTATGTGTACAGATGTGTGTGTACAGATATGTGTGTGTGTGTACAGATGTGACGTAATGACGCAAAGACATGGTCGAATCTCCCACAGAAATCCACCAGTACCACTGGAATTAAAAACATTATATCAAACTTACCGTTTTGAATCGAGCTACGGCAAGCAGAGAGTTTTGAACACTGGCTGGTTATGTATTTTCTCAAATATGTATTTTGGATAATTTTTAACGCAAAAAAAGCTACGGATTGCAGCTTTAATATAAGAATCAATAGGTTTCATTTCTAGGTTGCTTTGGCTGGTTGTTCTCGTTGCTTTCAATGTGTCATTACAGTGTTCAAATGTTTTAACTGCCCCTGAATATAAATGAACACACTGTGCACTGAGCTTCTAATAAACATACTCTGCATCTGTGGACAGGTCACATGATGGATTGTCTCTGGACGTCCCACTGTCCAGAATCTCAGAATCCTGAGAAGGAGACGCTGTCCCAGCTCGGCCCGAGTCCAGAGAGATGTCGGCGGACAGGTTTAGGCTGCTGTCATCCTCCAGGTGCTCCTCCTGCACATCGCCGGTCACATGCATTTCTTCCTGTTCCTTGATCTCCTCCAGAGGAGACTCCAACACTGGTTCTGCAGTGTAAAATCATGAGAAATGCAGAAAGTCAATTGCTTAAATATTAAAAAGTACAGTTTTTTTACTGTATCCCTAAGCAGCACTGAAGCAGCTGATGAAGCCGGGGTTTCCACATCAAACTGAAGTGATGCCCATTCTCATGCAGGAGCAGCTTATAGAGAGAAAGAGAGAGAGAGAGATGTGGCATATGCACAAAATAAAACGTTGCGCTTTTCTAAGCGTGTAAAGTGGATAACTATAATGTATGGCGGAATACCATAGCAAGTGCTTGGGAGCACTTCGACTCGGCGCATATATATCTATGGACTCGGCGCAGTAATATCATCATATCATCACTCCGGAGAGGGAGCGGGGGAGATGACTTTTCACGAGTGATGATATTACTGCGCCGAGTCGAAGTGCTACCAAGCACTTGCTATGGTTTTCCGCCATACATTATAGTTATCCATTTTACACGCTTAGAAAAGCGCAACGTTTTATTTTGTGTCACCGTTCATGGTCGAGTTACACTACTCGTGTAACCAGGGCCTGAAGTTAACTTTTTTGGCCACCAGCCACTGTGGCAGGTGGATATCAAAATTCACCTGCCACAGAGACTTTTTACCAGCCTTTTTTTTTTTTTTTGCCTCATTTTCATAGGTGAAAAACGGGAATTTCACAATATTGTTCTTTAACTTGTACACATTTAAGTGCTGTCAAGTTATTAACGAAATCAATATAAGTAGGGTAGAGTGGGGGAAAACGCCCCCCTTAAAGAAAATGTGACATTATTGTGAAACAAAACATAAATGTGACTAGAATTGCCATCCCAGTTTTGAGTGTCTATGGCAGGAGTTATTTACCAAATATTAAAATTGCTCAACCTTCATAATAATTTTTTTTTTTGACTGAAAATATTTTGTACAAAGGGGGCGTTTTGCCCCAGCGGTGGGGTAAAACGCCCCCCAAGGTGGGGTAAAATGCCCCCTTTCTACCAAACTACCAACCAGTTTGCTTCATAGATCAACAGCAAAATGAACATAGTTTTTAATCTCTAAAAGTAAAAGGCAAGTAATGCAACAACATGTATATATATATACCTATTAATATTTATTTCAGCAATGTACAAAATAGCCAAATTTCTAACATTTTAATATTTTGATTTCTACACTAGGCCTATATGGGGTTGATAATTGATGTAGTATTTGTTCACCACTATCATCAAGAAAAACAGAAAACCCTAAATAAATATTAAACATAAATTAGTATATTTATAGTGAAATATATTCCATAAATGCATTAAAGGTCACTGTGTTTTATCATTGGGTCACCTAACCACCTTCCATCATTGCATTCACCAAGCTAGCTAATGCTCACTTGAGGTAATTTTTTCATGTTTTGTTCAAATATTTAGATTTTAACACCTAGTTATACTGCATTAAAGTGTAAAATAAAGACTTTGATGAACAGAAATATGTTACTGTAGTAATTATGATAAAGAGAAACTATGCCCCTTGGGGGGGCGTTTTACCCCTCAGCATAGGGGGCGTTTTACCCCACAAGCTATGTCTTTTTAAAAAATTGTTTATTTAACAAATATATAATTATATTCCTTATAAATAACATATGCTCTCAAACTACAGACATCACTATTCATCTATCATACATCAATGTGATATCACTGTGAACAATATTCTATTAAAAACTTGTTTATTAATATCTGAAAGTTATAGCACTTTCCATGTAATCCTCTTCTCTTCAAATACGTCGCTGGTGTCAGCTTCTCCATGGAGATTTGTATATCCCCGTTGTCAACGTAGTGCATAGCAATAGTAAAAATGTATCTTGATTCATTCTAGTGGTTATTTTGGGAAAAACGGGTGGGGGGCGTTTTACCCCAGGGGGGCATTTTCCCCCACTCTACCCTAATAATAACTCTTAGAATATACATTTAAAAAAAATCTTTTTATTCATTGATTTTGACACACACACGCACAACAGATCTATAGACCTACCGCAGCTCGTATGTAACGTTAAACAAATCACCCGTGGCTGTGTTGATGGCTGATTTAGTCACGTAGACAGCTAGGTCCTGACAGCTTTTAGTTACAGCGTTCAGGAACCGTTAAGCAGAACTAAATTAATATTATTACTGGTAAAGTTACCGGGTACCGGACATTTTCTCACCGGTTCCCAACTCCCAACATGTACTACAGTTGCACACGCACACATCTGTGCAACTGTCATTGTTCTGGAGCCTACGTCAGCGTTACATTATCTCATCCCATCTCACCAACAATTCAATACTGGCACATCCAAACGTAGTCAGAAAAGGGCCTCATCTTCTTTCTGATCGCATGAACGTTACGAAACAACAGTCGCTGTCATAAATCAGCCGCTCACGAACCTTGCCGTTTCTTTGACTCATCCTCATCTTTTTGTTGGTTGCTTGTTTCAGCTGGCCTTTTTACCCCAGTAATGTGCCGCCACATTATAGCTAAGGTCCAACGCAATGAAAATGAAAACGAAAACGTAAAAAAAAACCCTAATGAATCACTCAATTCTCATTGGCTACCCGCCAATGTGGCAGGTAGATTGACAGTGTTACCCGCCAATAGCAAAATTCACCCGCATTTGGCAGGTGGTCGGGTGTTAATTTCAGGCCCTGCGTGTAACTGTATATAAATAGGGAAAACGTGGAGGTGTTTGGTCGCTTCTCTGCTTGGATCCTAATGAATGAACTAGGCTAAGCTAAGTGCTCTCAAAGTGTCTCGCGCGATTGAGTGCACGCACTGAGACCAGAGAGGTATGTATCAACTCGTCTTAGTTAACCCTCTGGGGTTGTTCGTTTAACAGTCACACTTGGGGTGTTCGGGTCCAAATGGACCCAAAGGGCAGGATTCATATATTTTTTTTTTAATCTTTTTTTTTTTTTTTTTACTTGTTTTTTATAAAAAAAAATATTTTCTTTTTTGGTGTTTTGAGATATTTTATGATTTATAATTAATATTTATGCAATAATTATGACCCATTTTTTCCCCATTAAATATAATAGAATTTTTTTTTTTTTTTTTAAGCTGTATTTCATTTTAGAGTCAAGCCTAGGCCTCCTGAAAGCAATTTTTGAAATGAGATGGATGCCATCTGGTGGACAAACTGAGCATTTTAAAAATTCAAAACACATATGTAATCTGAATTTATTAGTGTGTATGTGTATAAAAGTGTGTTTGTGTGTGTGTGGCTGTGTCTGTTTTGCACTCTTGATGTTTTATAGATTCACCCCTTCACTGTTGTGTGCTTTTTTTCTGGATCGTGGCTGATTTGTAGATTGTACGCACAAAAAAACTCTGTATTTTCACATTTTTGCCAATTTCCCATTCATTTCCTATGCGGGTCCATTTGGACCCGAAGGTCCTGAGTGTGACTATTTTTTTTACAACCACTTAGACTATTCAAATCCTGTCCCCAATTTTTTTGGGTGTTCATATACCAAATACCAACAAAGTCCAAGAGGTCCTCGCTGCAGCCTGTAGCACGATGACGTAGCTGGATGGTCCAATACGTATTGGATGGAGGTGTGTTTTGGTGACGTCATAGACGCATGCGCACTAGTCAAGTCAACTTCATTTATAGCGCTTTTAACAATGTAGATTGTTTCAAAGCAGAGATAAACATATAATTTAAGGTAAATGAGATTCTTTTGGCTTTATAGCGGTTCTTAAATAATGTTTAAGAACCTGTGATAAACGCTGATGGCGTTCATATGCGCATTAAGAATTGATTCTATTAGAGTAGGTGTAGAGAGAGTAGAGAGTTGGTGAACGATCGCACGTGCTTTGATCTTCCAAGAAGAATAAAGTAAGTTAAATATAAATGGTCACTTGAGTATGGAAGCTCTTTTCCGCCACAGAATAAAACATTTAAAAATATATAATTGCGACTTTTTCCTCACAATTGCGAGTTTATTTAACGCAGTTCTGACTATATCTCACAATTCTGATAAATAAAGTCAGTTTGCAAGATGTAAAGTCTCAATTGCATGTTATAAAGTCAGAATTGCGTGAAATAAAGTCAGAATTGCGTGCTATAAAGTCAGAATTCTGAATTTATAATAGGCCTGACATAATTGGGAGTTTACGTCTCCCAATTCTGACATTTTTTCTCATAATTGTGACATAAACTCGCAATTGCGAATTATAAAGTCAAATTCTAAGGGAAAAAATGACTTATTTTTTTAACCTCAGAATAGTTTAATATCTCACAATTCTGACTGTATAGGCTATAACACGCAATTGCGACTTATCATGCAATTCTGACTTTATATCTCCCAATTGGTATTATAAAGTCGAAATTCTGACTTTTTTCTCGCAATTCTGAATTTATAACACATAATTAAGATTTTATATCTATCAATTCTGACATATTTTCTTAGAATTGTGAGATATAAACTCGCAATTGCGAGTTATAAAGTCAAATTTTACCTCAGAATAGTTCTCTCACAATTCTGACTTTATAACACACAATTGAGACTTTATATCATGCAATTCTGACTTTAGCCTATATCTCCAATTTGCGCAGGCTATTATAAAGCCAGAATTTCAAGCCTCGCAATTGCGAGTTTATATCTCATAATTCTGACTTAACACGCAATTGCGACTTTATATCACGCAATTCTGACTTTATAACCTGCAATTGCGACTTCAATTCTGAGATAAAAAGTCAGAGTAGTGAGATAAAAAGTTACCTTTTTTATTTCTCACTCTGTGGCGAAAACAAGCTTCTAGCCTACCATATTGCAGACACTGAACAGCAAATTAAGAGGAACCAGGCTACAGATCACTGTGGAAAAATGAGTAGGCTATAGCCATTAAAGAAGGAACTCTTACCAGGCAAAATATCAAGCACTTTTTTTCCCTTTTTTTTTTTTACATCTGACAAGATTTATTTTCTTGATGCTGTTATTATTTTTGCATTTTCCCTTGAATGTGTTCTGGTATCTTAAAATGTTTACAGACTTTATTGTATTGTACCTTTAAAATTACAAAGACAATTAGGCTACTTGATTCATTTTTGCTTCCACTCAACAGCAAATGTGACCTGAATAAAAAAAAATGGCTTTAAAAAAAAAAAAAAAAAAAACTTGCGGTGCTGAGGACATGCTATTAATCTATCAAATTTAGGTTTAAAATCATGTGATTTAAAATGTTGTAAAATTAACTATTTTGCATAGCCTATGTGTGAAACTCGGATAAGCATCCCATTTATGTAAATAATTACTTATTTATCAATAATTACTATTTAGCAGTAGGCTACTATACTACACAGGTTAGAACATCATATCAGTACAATATTGAGCATACATGTCACTTAAAACCAGCGCATGCGAATTATAATCCAGAGATCGACACTGCGCATGCGTATATGACGTCAGCAAAACACACCTCCATCCAATACGTATTGGACCATCCAGCTACGTCATCGTGCTACAGGCTGCAGCGAGGGGTGTCTCACAAAGTCACCAAATTTCTGACCATTCCGAAGAAGCTGTGATTTTAAAAAAAAAATTATTTGAATGATTCGGGTCCATTTGGGCCGAACAACCCCAGAGGGTTAAGGGAATAACATAGTTTAATATGAAAAAACGGTGGAGTATCCCTTTAAGTGTTTCTGGCTCTTTATATATTTATTTTCTTTCTCAGTCATTAGAAAGTCTGACTGTAAGCATAACTGTAATCATCCTCTTAAACTTCACGAGGACGACGGCGCACTGAAGCATTCTTTGTAAACAATTGTAAACGATTGTAATCACCCCGAAAAACTATACATCATTAAAAAGATCAAAGACTCAAGCGTCAGTATTTGACCTCTATTTTATTCTGAAAATCTTATAGTGGCAGGTATGTCTTAATATGTTTCAGGAGTTATAAAAAAGAAAAAATTAGTCAATAGTACCTTTAATATGAATTATGAGCGTCAGCCGCTCCCATTCAGAAAAACAAAAACAAATCCTGTACGGTCGTCATGAAAGCGCTTGACAAAACAACGTTCCTCAGGGCTTTTAGTTCAAAATTGTGCAGATTTTGAGAAATATTGATAGATTCTCATATGTTTACATCGAATTTCTATAGAGAGGAGTAATATTTAAAAAATGTTACCCAAAAGGCAGTGCTTTGACTGTGCAGATCACAGAAGGTTATTAAAAACACTTGACTTGCATTATAAAGTTTGGAGCAAAAACATGGTTTTAATCTCCTAAATTGTCTTGCATTGATGGTATGCTAAGCTAACATGCTAGCTAGCCCTAAGATGCACCTGCCACCTAGCTGAGCATATTTTTATCAATAATTTTAAGTAGTAAAGCTCACTGAAATGTTTCCTTTTTCAAGAAGGGCATTTGACAATGTCTGTGTGAATGTGTGCAGGGAAGACTGAGGCTGAACGGGGAAATTTGCACCACAAACTTTATAAAACTTTGAAGCTATTTATAAAATAATGTTTAATTATGACAATAATTATAATACTTTACAATATTTCAAGATAATTATGACTTTACAATAAACTGCAAAGTGTCCTCTTTCAAATGAGACCATACTTATGCTCTTAGTGCAAAGGGTTCATGAACTATATCGGTTTTATTTTGGGTATGCCATTTTTCAAAAGCGTGGTTGAAGGCTAACAGGGTAAAGAGTAAAGCGTTCAGGGCTTCTTGTAGTGCCATCAGCCAATCAGTGTTCACTTGAGCCTGCATTGGGGAAAGCCTTCTGAAACTCAATGCAACTAAGCAAAAGTTGCAAAAGAATTCATAAAATACACTTGTAAGAAGTGAATGATCCCTGCTGGGTCTCAAAAGGCTGCCTTTTATAGTTATGAACAATGAGAAAAGTTTGCCTGCAGATTTCGGTCCCTGATTAGACAGCACTGTTTACTTCATAGAAAAAATGCATTTGACAAAACTATGCATTTTTATGAGTGCTGCTTTCATAGAGAAGTTTTGTCCAAAGACGTACACTGCATGAGCGACATGCTCAACGCTCCCATTAAAATCAACAAAGCTTTATAGCAAAGTTTTCAACCATGCATCGATTACAACAGGACCGGTTTTGTTGCATCGCTCACTTCCAGCGTGAAAATTTATGAAAAGATTACATTTGTTTCATGGGTCGGAAAATATAATGAAAGCACCAAGTCATTATGATCTTTTAAAAGTCCAATCAACAGAAAATAACTGATTTAAACAAGTGATTTACATAATAAATTAAGTTTATACATTTCTACTATGCCCTATTTCCTGTAGAGGACTTGTGGACAGTCTTATGATAAACTGAATTAAAATTAACACATTATGCAAAACCTGAATCTAGATAGATAGATAGATAGATAGATAGATAGATAGATAGATAGATAGATAGATAGATAGATAGATAGATAGATAGATAGATAGATAGATAGATAGATAGATAGATAGATAGACAATGATAGATAGATAGATAGACAGACAGAGACAGACAGATAGACAGACAGAGAGACAGACAATGATAGATAGATAGATAGATAGATAGATAGATAGATAGAAAGAGACAGACAGATAGACAGACAGACAGACAGACAATGATAGATAGATAGATAGATAGATAGATAGATAGATAGATAGATAGATAGATAGATAGATAGATAGATAGATAGATAGATAGATAGATAGATAGATAGATAGATAGATAGACAGACAGATAGACAGACAGATAGACAGATAGATAGACAGACAGACAATGATAGATAGATAGATAGATAGCCAGACAGAGACAGACAGACAGACAGACAGACAGACAGACAGACAGACAGACAGACAGACAGATAGACAGATAGATAGATAGATAGATAGACAGACAGATAGACAGACAGACAATGATAGATAGATAGAGACAGACAGATAGACAGACAGACAGACAGACAGACAATGATAGATAGACAGACAGATAGACAGACAGACAATGATAGATAGACAGACAGACAATGATAGATAGATAGATAGATAGACAGACAGAGACAGACAGATAGACAGACAGACAGACAGATAGATAGACAATGATAGATAGAAAGACAGACAGACAGACAGACAGACAGACAGACAGATAGATAGATAGATAGATAGATAGATAGATAGATAGATAGATAGATAGATAGATAGATAGATAGATAGATAGATAGATAGATAGATAGATAGACAGACAATGATAGATAGATAGATAGATAGATAGATAGATAGATAGATAGATAGATAGATAGATAGATAGATAGATAGATAGATAGATAGATAGATAGATAGATAGATAGATAGATCTATTATTATTAATACGTAACTATTACGTACTTAAATTATCGTTAGGGAGCCGCAAACGTTCAATGGAATTGGAAACAGAATTGTCCAATTCCTCATGATTTCCATCCAGGGAAATGTCAGGTTGAACACTTGCGTAATCACGTTTGCTCATATAACATCTCTGATGAAATGTCATAGTTGTGTTTACACCCAGGAGTAACTCACACACACACCACAGCTGTGGCCCATTTGCAACTGTTTGCCCGTACGTGTGTACGAGTGTGAGAAAGTGTCTAACTAATACAGCTGCAAACATTTAAACGAGTGTTACATCGAGTAAATTCTCACCAGCCCAGCCACCACCCAACTCAGGCACACCACAGCCCAGATCCGAAACCTAGACCACTGCCTTCTGAGATTTAGATAGATTTAGATGTTAGAATGTTGCTAAGCTTTCCTAATGCTACTCGCATAAATGGGACACACAAACATTGGGTAATTTGATTTATAGCTACTTTTCAAATAGTGAATAAAATATATTTATATCCCCCCGGGCTTGTAGATCAAATCAGAGAAAGTGGTGATGGGTCTGTTCAACCAATAGGTGGAGACAAAACACACAAAGTCAAAGGCAACACACACTGGCCCATCTGCACTGTCCCCAAATGCCCACCCATTCAAAGTACAGCTGTTGTGCTCATTCAAGCCCTTTCACACAAAAAATCCTCTGAATAATGACACAATAATAGCCTGAACTTTAAATAATTACTTTCTTTTTTACTTTTCCACCCACTGCCAACAGATTACAGAGCACGAAACATGATGAAATAGCCAAGATACTAAATTCTTGTTTCTTACCTCATATAAACACAGGGTTGTTCCTGCATTAAAATATATATTTTTTAAATATTAAACATTCTACATAACTAATAATATAACTTTTTTTCAGGACAATATTAAAGTCTATACTTCATTTTTATTACAATTATAGCAGTTGTAGTTATAGTTTCTAAATGTGTTTGGCTACTCTATTTTATTTTCTATAGTTTGTTTTATAGAAACTATAATATAATATAATAATAAATAAAGTAATATTAATAAGTAAATGTAACTTTTTTTAATAACTATAGTATTTTGTAGGAAAACTATATTAATATAATTTTTTTTAATTGTTTACATGGCAAAAAAAAAACAAATCAAATTCCATAGGTACCTCCAGATGTTTCAATAATTAACAATAACATTACATTCTATTTGTTAACATAAAGTGCTATTAAGTAATTGACTAATTTCAATTATGTAGTGAATCCGAATGTAATGATTGTGTGGATGCAGTGCGCAGAAGCTACCACCATTTTGAGGCAAGAAAACCCCTGAAACTGCTGGTGAACACAAGCATACTCTCAGAAAGTCTTCAGACCGACCTGTCATGCCTCTGTCCAGCGTGGTCTCATCAGGAGAGGCTGGGCTGCTCGAGATGGGGGGCGGGGGGGCCTTACGCTTGGTGGAAGACTTCTTGAAGGACGACTCTGTCGAGGATCCCCGGCTCAGAGGGGCCATATTCTTTGGAAAGCAGGCAGAGGGACAGTAATAAATGTGACATATAATTCCAAATATTTGCCTGTGGAAAACGTAACCACATTCCCTAATGACAAGGTGATGAAATGACTCAACCCAGCGCCGAGTTTACGTAGAAACAAAACAAATACTGTGAAAGCAAGGTTTAACCGCTCATTGTTTTTGCAAAGTGCCGTTTATACATAGATACTTGGTCTCTGAACTGAGGTCATGAAATAACAGGTTACCGAATCTTTTTTCTTTTCTTTAAAAGACTTCCAAGACAATGAAGCCCAAAAGAGTGTCTGGAAACTTAAAAATGTCTGAATGTCATTGCATATATTTTATTTTCTATAGTTTGTTTTATAGAAACCCAAATAAAATAATATCAAAACTTTATAAAATCAAACAAAATATAGTTTGTCAAGTTTTTGTCTTTAAAAGACTTCCACAATAACGAAGGCTCATGTAGGCTTAAGTGTCCAAATACTTTTTTGGGGTCACTGCATTTTGCACAACTAGTTCCAAACGTCTGAGACCACTAGTGAACATATCTGCTATGTTGTGTTCTTTTCTAATTTAAAAAACATTCATAAAATGTACACATTACAAGTCATATCAGAAAAATACATTTGTGTCTGAATTTGAGAATGTCTTAGTATCTGGATTGTGTGTCTTTGGCATTAATGATAGTAGCGATGGAGCTACATGAACAAAACCTGATGATCATGTTCTCAAGGATGATTTAAGAAGATCCAAAGAGCATCTTTCAGCTTCAATGGACGAAACACATATGACCATCTGTACAAAGAGCCACAAAACCAATGTCACTCAATTACTTGCATTTGATTAGTCACCTAAGAATAGTGCAGAATTCTTCCTCAAAAACTTTGTTTACATGAAAATTTTTCACTCTGATCTCAGACTTTTGGACTCCACTGCATGTTCAAGCCAAGTTTTCCTAGTAAATATTAACTGAATCCCAGAACAGCGCTACATACCTGGTTGCCATCAGGTTGCACATCCCCGTGGTTATGACTGAGGTCACTAGGCATGCTCTGCGACATCATGCTAGGTGGCAACGGGGCTCGTCGTTTCTTTGGCGTGTCGGAGGGCATGGTATTGGAATCGTATGTTATTCGTGAATGCGTGCTGAAGGAACTCATGCTGACCGGCCTCTGTTTCCTGTGCACTGGAGATGCCGGTGCACTCACGGTCATAGACTTTAACGAGAGACAGCCAATCGTAAGTCAGCACACTCCCAGCCAGTCCCACAGGTGAGCCAATCAAGTAAGCATACATTTGCATAAAACAAATATGACCACTGGTGCTCAGGGAATGTTTACAAAGAAATGTAAAACACACATGCCTTTGACCTTATCTTAACGTCACCAAAAAAAAAAAAAATCTCAAAGCATGTTATCGTTCCTTGTTATATACATATAGGATTTCATAACTCACCTGTTCAGATTGCTTCTTACTTCCTTTCCGAAATAAGCTGAAAGTCCGCTTATTTTCTTTCTCCCTCTTGATTTTCTCTCTCCCATGATGAAATATTTCTGTGATTTAATGCATTTAGTAGTTAGACAGTATTCATTTCTTACTTACAGGAATAGTTCATGCAAAAATAAACAATATTTCAACTTTATATCATTTTGGAATTTAGAATAAAATGAGGGTGAGTAAATAATGACAACTTTCATTTCGGATGAACTATTCTTTTAAAATGGAAAACGTAATGTAAATGTCACTTACCTGAGTGAGTAGGAGATGGAGGCAGACTTATAGGACTTACAGGGCTAATAACTGCGAGAAAAGAAGCAAACCCAAGAGCACAGTATAATGAAAATGTTTTGCAGAGTATCTCAATGTCACCTTATGAAAACCAGTCCTGCATGATTGAGTCATTTTAATGTACTTAGCATAAACACACACTGGGCTCTGACCTCTGGTGTCTCTTGCATACACTTCCCTCAGACCGAAGTCATTGAGGGAGCTTCTCAGGTCCAAAGTGTCTTCCGAGTGGACATTTCGTAGTAAAACTGTGGTCTGTGGGTCAAATTCACATTTCTCACAGATAGCCGGAAGCAGTTCTCGTAGAGAAACCCGAGGACTCACTCTGAGAATGGTTTTCTGGGTTTTCTTGAAGTTTATCACTAATCGTACGGTTGCCTGAAAGAGAAGAGAGAAGAATTTAAGTACGGGGTTGCCATATAGTGGTAGCTTGGTATTAAAAGATTGATGTTTTTTTAGCATTTCAATTTAGATTAGGGTTAGATTATTAATAGATACATTCATATTATTTTATTAATTTAAATACTCAAGTCATCATGTGGTCCCGTTGGAAGTTTGCTGAGGCCCCCTGGTTGAGATTTGTTGCTATAAACCCTTTTTATAAAATCCAACGGCCACATGCTTTTTTGTTTTGCTGTAATGTGATATTGTTTGTCATTCGTTATGAAGTGAATTGTTAGTATGCTGTACAGCCATGCTCTGCTTCTTTCAATCATCTAGATAAAACAAATATGCCTTTATTTATGACTAAATTAATTAATGACTAAACACCGTTTAAAGATTTACTTTTCTGCTTAGTCAGCCTCAAAATGGATCTTATTTACTTTCTAAATACATGTTTCTGGTTGATTTTTACTGTTGCTAAAGTATATAGTATGTGCTGTGCACAATATGCTAATTTTATGCATGTATTTTCTGTAATGTGCAGAATACAAAACGGCACAAATGAACCTTTCATTTACAGTGTGACAACTAAAACAGAAGTAATATCCGTCAAGTCACATTTATTTAGATAGCACTGTTAAAGGGGTCATGACATGGATTTTTATTATTATTTTAATGTTCCTTGAGGTTCACTTATAATGTTAATACATATTTTGTACAAAGAAAACAAAACTAATATATATCCTGGGAAACTATTTTAAACCTTCATTCTGACCCTCTGTCTGACATAATCAGTTTTTAAGCGGCGGCTCCTTTAAGGCTTGTCAGTAAACAGCCACTGTTATGATTGGCTAACGTCATTGCATAGGAAACAGTATCAAGGCCCACTCACTATTGCACGCGACTAAGTGTTTTGAAAACATTACCCAAATAAAACCGTCACTTACAGACAATGCATTTACTCACGGTTGTGATGCAGCTGCTGTCAGATTCAATACAAAATTGCTACTTCATCTTTTAACAAAAGTTTCTTTGCGAACTTTCCATTATACTGTGCCTCTTTTAAAAAACAAAATGCTGTGACGCAATCCGGGATGCGTTTAAAATACACCATCTACTTGTTTCTGATACTGGGATCCTTCTAAAGTCTGTACAGAGGTGCAAACAATCTGTTTAAACTTGATGCGCCAAACGTTCTTTCACTCTTCCATTTGTCCTGTTGTCGGCAGACTGAAGTGTGTGGAGTGTCAGAAACTGAACACACATCTGTATACTGTATCCAGTGTAGACAGCATCAGTGATTATAATGGATTTTATTTGCTTTTGACGTGACGCTCACATCCAGTGTAGGCAAATGTCAACCATTACTGTGCGATCACCGCTGGCGAGAGGGTCAAAATCCGCTCTCGCCGCCCTGCCAACAACGCCGTAGAAAGATTTGTGGACGCTCTGACGTAGATTTAATGCTTGGTCTTTTTTTATACTTTATTTAAAGGTGCCGCAAAGCAAACAAGCATGTTGATTGTTATTTGTGCAGACTGGCCACAAGTAGGGTAAAAAACTTTTGCTGATAATTTACTCACCCAAGATGTCCATGTCTTTCTTTCTTCAGTCGAAAAGAAATTAAGGTTTTTGATGAAAACATTCCAGGATTTGTCTCCATATAATGGACTTCAATGGGGTCCAAACGGTTCAAGGTCCAAATGACAGTTTCAGTGCAGCTTCAAAGGGCTTTAAACGATACCAGACGATGAATAAGGGTCTAATCTAGCGAAACCATCGGTCATTATAAAACTTAAACTTTTGTATTTATTTTTTAAAGCACAAATGCTCGCCTTTCTCTGTTCTGTGATGCGCGTTCGTGACGTCACGTAAGAGTTATCACAGAACAGAGAAAGGCGAGCATTTGTGCTTATAAAACTTAAACTTTTTTATTTATTTTTTAAATGACCGATCGTTTCGCTAGATAAGACCGTTATTCATCGTCTGGTATCGTTTAAAGCCCTTTGAAGCTTTGTCATTTGGACCTTGAACCGTTTGGACCCCATTGAAGTCCATTATATGGAGAAAAATCCTGGAATGTTTTCATCAAAAATCTTAATTTCTTTTCGACTGAAGAAAGAAAGACATGGACATCTTGGATGACATGGGGGAGAGTAAAATATCAGCAAAAGTTTTTTTTTAAAGTGAACTAATCCTTTAAGTTAACCTCATGAAATCTTTAAAATGTGAAAGCAAGAAATTGATCGATGGAAAGAACTTAACAATTATAGTTACATGTTTGCTAATGAAATAATCCAATTAAAAGCCATTTGTGTGGTGTGGCTTTTGTGTTCATGGCTAAGTGCTAATCTAATTTGCATTCCCGCTGAAAAACAAGCATTCTAGCGCAAAAACTTTGCCTATAAATCGTGTTGCGCGGCTTCTTATCAAATTCACATGATCAGCCTCTCCTTCATTTTGCTTGGGAACTAATGTGGTCCGAACCAAAGTTTACAGGACTGCGTTCTCTGGAATCCTCTCAAGCGGAGGACTTCTACATTCCGATTGGTTGCCGCCGAACAACGTCATAGCTCATTACCGTAAAGTTGACCTGACTTCAACTCTCCTCCACGCTCTCACCGTCCTCGCTGGAGCTCGCCGGCGGCTCTCATTGAAAATGAATGACTTCCGGCCACTTTGACGCTCTCGCCGGCGGTGGTGTGAACGCACGGTAAAGCGACTGAATGCCAGTGGGCGGGTCTATGGTGTGATGATGTATAACTATTTGTCGATGTCTTGCTCTGGAGGCGGGCATACAGGGCCGTCGCTAGTGGGGTGAAAGGTGGTGACAATTATAGGGGGCCCCTGCTGCCCAGGGGGACCCAATAAAATTGTAAGTCCCACCCCAGCTCGTGAACAGAACCAATCAGAGTTGAGGCGGCAGCCTGAAGTTAACGATGAACTTGGTGGAAGAGCAGGAGACTGACTGACTGAAAAATGTCGGGGAAAAGAAAACAAAAATCAGGTACCAGAAATGCCAGGAAAAGACGGAGAGGGAGGCAAGGAGAGTGGTTGTATCCCAGTCGATCAAGACGTTCTTAAAGACCGGTTATATATTGTTATTTCGCTGGGAATTAGAAAACTTCCGTCTACAGTCTGCCGTGTACAGTCATTTTTTATTATCGGTGCGCGCCACAATCGACCGAATGATTACGTGGTCTAAATTCCTGTCTTTTTACACTATTGTAAATAGAGTTTTAAAAAAATTACACGAGTCACGACGCGTTGCATTATGCATCTGACCTGCCGGCTGATGATATTTAAAACATCGAGAAAACACGAATACAACACACTGCACTTGGATGAATAAATGTATTCGCTTTATTTAATAATATTACCAGTTCCATATTATCTTTATTAAAAAATAAGGCAATATGGTTTTATTTTTTTAATTAGACTGCATTCTTGTCAATTTCTAAATGTTTACTTTTTGATTTATGAATTATAACAGACTGATGGGGGGGGGGGGGGGGGGAATATTACTTTTTAAAAATTGGTTTTATTATTATTTAACAATTTCTTGCTTTTTGTTAGTTTTTATTAGTTGTAATTTTTATATAAACATTTAACTTTTAAAATAAAGGTTTCACAACAACATCACCATCTTCTGTTATATGTGGGCCTCCATGTTCATCTATTGTACAGTATATGATATTGGTGGAGGGTGGTGGGGGCCCACATCAATATTTTTTCAGGGGGCCCCGAATCCTCTAGCTACGGCCCTGCGGGCATATGAACGTTTTTGCAAATGTGACGTTGTTACGTGTGGTTATAGTAAGCGCACGAATCAGAATCAGTGAAAAGTAAAGGCATTTTTAAATAAGCATTAAATAAAACTACAAAATAGCCAGTTATATACAAGATGAAAACTGATTAAAACATTTATTAGTTGTATTCAGAATAGCACGCTAGCATACTACTATTTAGGGCTGCAACAACTAATCGATAAAATCAAGAATAATCGATTATGAAAAACTTTGTCAACGAATGTCATTATGGATTAGTTGGTCTGCTTACGTTTACTGGTGATTGGTTGAAACAGGCCAATCATGATGCTCTCTGTCTTACATGCGCTTCATGAGGCACACACGCACACACACACACACGGCTCTACGTTCACACGCTTGTTTTCAGTCTTTCTATATTTATTTGATCAATTTATCCTTATAATTCAATTAATTTTAAATAGAAATTAAATGAATTATATATTTGAGATGTTTTTAGTTTATATCTTCACATCTGAACAATATGTCTGTGTAAATTTGTTTTAACAAAAATTGTGTTAAAACATAATATGTTGGATAAATATATATATTTTTTTTACATTAATCATGGTTGTCAATTTGCATTAAAAACAATGCAAATATTTATATTAGTAAAACTCAATGTGTGGCTTTTGCACTTTTTAAAGTACACTTTTACAGATAAATACCCTGATTTAGGGTTTTATTTAGTTATAATAAACAAAAAATCAAATTGATTTTTTTTATCCGATTAATCGAAAAAATAATCGTCTGATTAATCGATTATGAAAATAATCGTTAGTTGCAGCCCTACTACTATTAGTGTCGTAGAGAACGGTCGAGTGCTAAGCCACTGTTTGCAATAGTGCCTACTGTTTCACATAATTCTTTTTTTTTATTATCATAAATGATTAACTTTGCAACACTGCCACTGTTATTGAACTAGACCAACACTGAATTAAGAGTGTTGAGCTGAATACTGACACTATTATCTTTTATAGAGCTGCTTATGGAGCTGAAGTCGTTTCATAATCAATTTTGATTTCAAGGGGACTTTGTGTTTAATTCATGTTTAAGATACAGTGGCGTATATACCTCAGGCATAAGTGATCCTGTCCTTTTGATTTTGTCTTCCATGCCTTTCGGTTTTAGCAGGATCTTCTCAGCCCCTAGGGCTCCGATAAGGGCATTGGGTTTGAACTTCACATTGTTCCTGTTGGTGGTGACGAGCTCTATGGTGTGGCCAGAAGGGTTCAGGTGGTACTTAGCACAAAGCATGACCAGCAGGTCCATCATGGGTTTGCTGAAAAACATGCAAAAGCAGAGCAAACTTTAAATATCAATTGCCACCAATCATTCTGATAAAATCTCATTTTGTGTTTAACAGAAGACATAAAATTGGGTTGGAGGGAATGATGTGAAGTTAAATACATGAGGACAAAAATGCCATTATTTGGTGAACTTTTCCTTCAGGACACAAGCATCTGTGTTTTACGGTTTCAAAAAGTTATGAAAGATCATTTTTCCATTATATTTTGTTGTTGAATGAAAGCCAAAGCCCCAGGAAACATGTGACTCCGACACAAGCTTTGTTATCTGTGAAGTATCAAGTATTTGCATTAATGCTATTTTGCTGCAGGGAAGTCTTGGCAATCCATATCAAGGAAGTTCCATTGACTGTTTTTCAAGTGTTCGTGACAATAACAATATAGTCATGTGAACACAGAGAAATTCAGAAGAATTTGTCCAAGCCTTTCTTCTCTACAAAAAAATTATTTTGGTATTCCATGGAACACACGAACCGTTGTTGTAAATAAAGATAAATAAAGGTAAATAAAGGTAAATAAAGACAGAACTGTTCCTTTAACACTGCATTAACAAACAGTGAGGATCATTTCAAATGTGGTTTCTTTTCCATTGACTCCTGTTAGGCTTCAGTGAAAACTATGACCTATATGCTTGACACATTGCATACTGAAAGTGTGGAAAATCCTTTCGAGACAGCTTATGACACAAAAAGCTTTCCAGCTGCTTTTGGAATCTTAGGATCTGAGAAACCTTTGGAAACACAGAGCCAATAATTTAATCCTGCTAAGAAAGAGGCCAGCAACTCTGGGTGGCACACATTTAGAAAGGCAGGTGAAGAATTTGATTATTAATGCCTTTATGTTGAATTTGGTTTCAGTTTTAGCATTAAGCAGGCAAAAAGTTGAACTTAGGAAAATTAGGTTTCATACAGGTGATTCGGGATCAAAGAACAGATTGAAACAATGATTAAATGTGATGACGGATTGCCTGAAATCAGGTTTGTGCCGGGAAAAAGAAATAATACTTTAGCAACATAATGTAAAAGCACAAATAGTGCAGTCTAGATAGATAGATAGATAGATAGATAGATAGATAGATAGATAGATAGATAGATAGATAGATAGATAGATAGATAGATAGATAGATAGATAGATAGATAGATAGATAGATAGATAGATAGATAGATAGATAGATAGATAGATAGATAGATAGATAGATAGATAGATAGATAGATAGATAGATAGATAGATAGATAGATAGATAGATAGATAGATAGATAGATAGATAGATAGATAGATAGATAGATAGATAGATAGATAGATAGATAGATAGATAGACAGACAGACAGACAGACAGACAGACAGACAGACAGACAGACAGACAGACAGACAGACAGACAGACAGACAGACAGACAGACAGACAGACAGACAGACAGACAGATAGATAGATAGATAGATAGATAGATAGACAGACAGACAGACAGACAGACAGACAGACAGATAGAGTTGTGTATCTGTCTAAGAAATGCTATTAATATTCAAGTAATGCTATTAATATCAAAGTAATTCTATTTAGCCTAGTTTAAGTAAGTCCCACTAGCACACCTTTAACAGTTGAGATGAAGTGTCGAAGACAGAAAACACCCTGACACTAAACACGGCACAAAGAGCACAGCAAATGATCCAACTGCTGAAATCGATCAAGTGTTTAATGATAATCACAAACAGCATAACGAGATGCAGTATAACTCTCTAACGTCATTTTGTACCCAAACCAACCCAGATTAGTTGCAGGAGCTCTGAGAAACATGCTGCCCCACCCAGCTGACTCACTGCAGCAATCATCTGATTAGTTTCATAACAGCAATCATCTGAGAATCTTCATGATCTCATATATACTGCATGGCTAAGAGATTAACACCTTCCACGCAGAAGTGTACCATATTCATTAAAAGTAAAGTTCCGTAAAATCGTCTCAGCTTTGAGAATTTTTGTATTAAGTTACTTTAATAATCCCTAACGGTTCAGGTTGTTAGGGCTACAGAAACGGACACAGCTGCAAGTAAACCAATGTTTCATGTGCTCAGGCTCAAACTGTAATTTTTGCAATGTTTATTCCATCCTGCCAAACATGCGCCATGTTCAAAATAGTTTGTAGGCAACATGATTACATCATCATAAACTCTCTGAACAGTGGTATTTGAATAAGTAAAGCACTAGATTTGTAAGATCATCATGAGAGATGATACAGTATGTGAGTAGTGTCAGGGGTGCTTCTACATATTTGTTAACGGGTACACAACATTAACATAGCCGACGTTTTTGGCATCGTGGCCTAATAAAGAGTTTTGCAAAAGCAACAAATGTCCAGTCTTGTGTAAAGGTTTGCCAACAAACTCCTCAAGCACATCTGTATATTGTAATTTGTTTACAATGTAGTTTTTCTCAAATATTGGCAATTATTACTTCTGGATGGAGGGAAACTCCAGTGTCAACCAAAGTCAACACAATCTTTTTCAATGTTGTTTGCAGAGCACAATGCTGTGACATTATTTAAAGCTGAAGTGTGTTTTTAAAGAATATATGTTGAATAAAGTTACATTTTTCTTATCCAACTAGCAAATGTTTTTATTTTGTTCATGTTTTAAGCCTTAAACTTAATGTAATTGAGTTATTTATGCTTTAAAAAAAAAAACTATTTGAAAATGGGGCACAAAAACAAACATAGTAAAAGCACAGTGGAGGGATAAATGGGCATTGTTGGAAAATAAAATAATGTTTGGAATAAAAAAAAAAGCATTAAACGAAAAACTTACGTTTTGCCTTGGCAACTAACTAAAAAAATTGAAGTACTAAAACTGATACAAAAATAAATTAGAGCTAAATAGAAATATATTTTAAAAAATATATAATAATAAAAGCATATAACAAAATTACTAAAGCTTTAACTAAAATTAAAATGAGCTAAAACTAAAAAACTAAAACTAAAAGCTAATCCAAAATATTAATAAATACTATGATAGTATATAAATAATGCTAAAATAACACTGATTGAGCGGTTCAAGTATTATGAATCCAAGACATTTTTGTAAAATTTGAGACTTTTAACGGTCTTCAATTTTGAAATATCTTTAAGAATCCACGGGAACTCCGACTATATTGTTAAATCACTTTGACTTTTCACTTCTCTGTCAGCTAGTTGTGTTTATTTCTGTTCAGAGACTCTTATCTTGAAGCTTTTCTATTCCTGTCATATCATTGTTCGAGTTTCCTGTGTTTATGTCCTGTGTCCTTTTGGTTTCAATAGTAACCCACTGAGTTCACCTGCGTCTAGTTAAGTTGCTCGATTTCTTTTGGATTATCTTGTTTGTTTGATTAAAACTGTTCATTGTCTCTTCTCCTCTTTCATCTTCCCTGCTGAAAATGTAACATCTTTACCGAGTGAACTCCAGCAGTTTACAAATCCAGCCATATGTACCTAAAACACAACCAACAAAACCCCTCACCTGCCATGGACCTCGATGGTCTTCTCCACCCCTCCAGGAAGGACCACGGCGAGTGTTAAATCCTGCTCCAGCAGGTTTTCCTTCTGGTCCATGGCAGGGTGAGGGTATGCTGGGAGCTTTTGGCTCAGCAATGGAGCATCCAGGCTTTGCTGGACAGGAGGAGGAGGAGGTGCTTTGCTTTTCGATGATCTCCTGTTAAACAAAGAGAAAACGGATTAAAAACATAAAAGTGTCATACGAATGTTCTGTTGAATTTATGAGTTATAGGTGCAGAAAGCAATTTCTGAGAAACTGTTGATATTTGGAATCAACCCAGACAAACACACCCCTCCCTTCATTGCTCCGTCCCCAAAATACACAAACACGCAATGAAGAGTGGATGTCTCTTTCATAGCTGAAGCGAAGCAAAACACTGGTCCCCAAACACTAATGCTTGATTAATGTAGCAAAAACACTGTCCTGTTAAAAACACACTAGATTTAGAGAAAAATGACTAAAATCAAGAGTGTAAACACTAACGCGTGCTAAATCATGTTTTTGCGATCTGACACATTTTGCAACACAATGACATAAAATTGTCCTTTTGACATAAAATTGCTTTTGGCTGCTGTGACTTTAGACTTCTACGTAAATACCATCTTGGCATGTGAAATAAGTACTCAACCAAGGCCTGGAGGTCTGCGGTCACATACAAAATATATTATAGTTTTTAAACCCCATCCTGAACTGAACACTGTCAGAAAGATGTGCAAAAATGTTATTATCATTAGGGGTACAACAGCCTGTCACATGGGGCAATACCCTTAAAATGACAACCTTGTACCTTAATTACCCCTAAAAGGTTCATAGTAGTACCTTAGGGTACATATTAGTACTTTGGAGTAGGTTCTACGGTTACACTTTATTTTAAGGTGCTTGTAATAAGCAGTAATTAACAGTTAATAAGACACTTATAAGACCTTATAAGATGCATATAAGATGCATATAAGCATTAACTACTTCATATAAGGGTTAATTAAAGGTCCAGGCCCTGAAGAGATCAGGGAAACCACTCCCTCTTGGGAAGGTCAATTTTTAAGGGCCTGGGAGTTTGTGTTACCATTTATGTTTGTTCGGCTGTTCTAAAAGTGCAATGTATTGATACTTGAGAAATTTATTATTTAATTTAATTTATTTATTATCATTAGTTAATGCTTATATGCATCTTATATGCATCTTATAAGGTCTTATAAGTGTCTTATTAACTGTTAATTACTGCTTATTACAAGCACCTTAAAATAAAGTGTTACCGGTTATACTATGAAGCTTTTAGGGGTAAATAAGGTACAAAGTAGTCATTTTAAGGATACAGCTATTGCACCCATACTTTTTCTGACAGTGCATGTTTGCCTCAAAGCCTACATATATCACAAAATAATGCACGCTGGGACATGCCACTGTCAAGCACAGGCTGATTTATAACGCAGAGCTTGAAATAGTACAAGGTTTTCCTCATTTTATGCTTAATTATTTCCTCTATTGTTTAAGAATAATAGTCTCTATCCTTCTTCCTGTGCATTACCTCGCCATGACTGGACACACCAAAAAGGGTCAATGACGTGTAAAAGTGGTCATGTGTGACCGTCTCAGACTAACGTTTCAAATTTCAAAACAGGATTTTTTTTCACAGCTTAAATTGAATTAATACTCTTTTTGCACTGGGAAGACGTTAGGGATGAACTCGCCTCTTACCTCAAAAGTTCAAGGAACATTTGATTCCTCATAATATGACCCCTTTAAATCTCATTAGGCCAAGCACTATAAGACACTGTACAAAAACTTTGTTGCTCAATGTGGTCAATTTTAGGTTATAGGGCATTGAACACCTCAGGCTGTATTACGCTATATGAAGCAGAAGGGTTTTGTTTGAATGTCAAATTAATCCAAATATGACGACTCCAGAGAGATGAGAAAATGACGGAACGTTCTGTTCAGCAAAAACAATAATGGTGGGCATCGGAAACACAATAAATCACCATCTGCTGACATACGAACAGTTCACAAATGTCTCTCAACAGCAGACGATATTTTATACGAATTACCTGATTTCTATTTGATTTACAAGATTCCCTGTGGAGAGTCAGGAATAGTACAGGCCTACTGTAAACATTACGCAGGAAGTTGGGAAAGCCCCTGAAAAGTGTGCATTAGCATAGCATGTTATGTTTGAGTTGGTAGGGCAGGCCAAAGTAAACACAAGGGTTTCTGACACGGTAAGCAGACACATTTAAAACAGACGTTTCAAATAGCAAACGTCCCATTAGTGTCTACTGTCTACCAAAGTGCTCATCAACATACATCTGAAGATTTATTTACACAAATGGCGTTTTTCTTCAAAGGTGCCGTGGCTCGTCCAATCAGATTCATTGAATTTAATTGTATCTGTTATGAAAACACCAAAATAACAAAACACAGCATTGTACGCATCTTTCATAGAAAAGGCAATACTAGAATGCATTAAGACAAAAACAAATAATCCAAAATGGTAGTTTTCTCTCTCTTCTTTCCATTTGTATCGGTTTCGACCCGACCTGAATGGACTTTAATGCAGTGGATTGAGAGGAATATTATGAATATAAAATTACTTTTAATGGGATAATTTCAATTTTCAAAGTATTTCAAACAGTAAATAGAGCCATGGGCATTGAAGGCTCAAATCATTCGGCCAACTCACATGCAGACACCTGCACAAACATCGACCGAGACACAATGTTGATATTTGAATGTTTCACAACTGTCCACCTCTTTAACCATAACAGCTTTATCAAATCTCTGTAATTCCTGAATACTGCAATGCATATCGTCTCCCAGGTAATAATGTATAGTAACAAACATTATCGCCCAGTGAGTGATATATAAGTTGAATATGGTACATCCAACTTTAGTACATCCAACTTCACCTGTACATACAATACACTCATGTAAACCAATACTATATAGCAAATCTCGACTGCATGATTGATATCATTGGAAAATATAAACTATATTATTGCACAGCTTTATATAAAAAGTTGGCTGCAACTTAAGTATATCAAACTTTATCTGCATACATAGTGTATACTCACGTAAACAAGCGATATACACACACACATTATATATTTTATATATACAGTATGAATTACGATTTGCAGAGAGCATTAAACTACAGAAATTTAAACAAAAATTGAATTAAATTTGAAACACTTATTGTTGTGCCTATGCAGTTTATAACATTTAATATTACTTTTGTACCCTTTATGTAGTCTGAGTTTATGTTAAATAAAGAGTCCTGAACCAAAACCTGTTGAGAACCAGTTCTCTTCTTACACTCTAAAAAATGCTGGGTTGTTTCAACCCAAATTTGGGTCAACTATGGACAAACCCAAATGTTGGGTTAAAAATGTAATTTAAAATTTTAACCCAACTTCAACTTCCAACTTTCACTTTCAACTGTAAATTTTTTAATTGTATTTTTAACCCAACATTTGGGTTTGTCCATATTTGACCCAAATTTGGGTTGAAACAACCCAGCATTTTTTAGAGTGTACCTTTCTAAATATGTTCCCAAATCAGAATATTCCAGATATGTGATGCATTTTAAGGTTACATTAGTGATTGCTTTGAAATGTAAAGCAGACACTGATGTGCCAATTGGATTGTGGTTGTCGGAGATAACCTGCAGCTGTGCACCCTTAGAGAAGATCACATATTCAATGAGAAGCAGGGGTGAATTATTTTATAAACTCTGGAAACCCCTTTTGAATTATATAAATATGGCACCACATGACTTGATTTGAATCAGTTCATTTTCTAACTGTCTTAGATTGTATCTCCCTTTTTTTCTTCTTTTTTTTTTCAATGTTGCCTCATGCGTGTCTTGTCTGAGGTTTTTTTTGTATTTGAAAAAAGCAAAATAAAATTTTCCCAAAAAAAAGACTACATTAGTGAGATGAAAGGGACACGCGTGGCAGAAGTTTTGCTGTCAGCAGAATTTAAATGACAAAGAGCTTCATGGAAACATCTGACAGCATGCATGCATTGTTTGACTTGTTTTGTTGACATGAGAAGCTTGGATGGAAACCGAGCTGCAAAGACAAAAGCTGACATGTTTTTTTGGGGTTTTTTGAGGTGTGTGTGGGGGGGGATCTGTGGAATGGACTTAAGCAGAGCTGTGAATCTGAAAGTACAAGCAAATGATGGACGTCTGGGCCTGTATATCATGACTATGAGAGGCTGATCACAGTGAGTGGATCTTCAGTCTATTTGACCACTATCTCAGAACAGTGAATGACACACCGGCGTGTCGGAGCTTGACTGAAGGAAGGCCTTTTCCTGTGACACATCGCTTGAGATCTAAACTCATTCATCATCAGCACAGATAGCTATCATTAAACACAACCACATATCTTCAATAAACTAGAGCTCTCACACAAACGCATGCATGCTTTGCTTACAATGGCAGCAAAAAAAAAGATCTTTTGGAGTAACGAACTTAACAAATCTGCTTTTTTGTAACTTGAACTAAAAAGCATCACATGAAATCAGATTTGTCAAGTAAAATGTTTTTACAAACTTGATGCAAACCACATTTGTATGCTTTTAAATCCAGTTACAAGCTGATTTTCAAAAGGCAAATTGGATTTTAAGTTGTTTTTTTTGTCATGTAGAATACAACAGACTACAAAAGTTTGGGGTCGGTTTTTATTTTTACTTGCTTTTATTTTACTTCCCTTTACTGTCTTTTTGTCTTCTGAATTATTGTTGTTTATTTTTACTCTTGATTGTGACACTGTACTTGATGTTATATTTGTTCAATAAAAAAAAAAAAAAAGAAAAATAAAAAGTTTGCTTGGCAAAAAAAAAAAGAAAAAAAGTTTGGGGTCGGTAAGATTTCTTACTGTTTTTTTAAACAAGTCTCTTATACAGTACAACGTGTGAAATAGTATTATCATTTAAAATAACTGTTTTATATTTGCATGTTTTTTAATCTACTTTATTCCTGTGATTCAATGTATTCAGTGTCACATGATCCTTCAGAAATCATTATAATATGCTGATTTGCTGAAGAAACATTTATTATCATCACTGTTGAAATAGTTGAGCTGTTTAATATTTTTGTGGAAACCATGACAAGTAGTGTAAACACCATCTATAAACTGATGGAGAAAGCAACT